AAAAAAAAAGGAGGATTTTTAAATGCCTATTGGTTTTTGTCTAGTTAACTGTAAATGGTACAATTACTTTTTTAAATAAACATTTAATAGCTTTGGCAATGAGCTGGCAAGCGTGAACATGATATTAACAAGATTCTTAGGCTAGTCAAAATGGATTATCATCTAAACGATTGCATGTTGAATGTAGCTTCTGAGAAGACACAGATAGAAGTTTCTTTTCGCAACACAAATGAAACTAGTTCAAATGCTTGAACTGTGTGACCTTTGAAGTGTTTCTTTGAGTTACTTGTCCACTCCTGAGTATGGCGCAGACCCAAAATTAAAAGAAATTCAGGCCCACTTGAGGAACTGATTCATTATGTTTCCTGGTTGTATTCTTTGCTTATAACTCTTCCGTATTTGCAGATTCTATGTTGCTGAGGTCCTGCTTGCTCTTGAATATTTGCACATGCTTGGTATTGTGTACCGAGATTTGAAACCTGAAAACATTATGGTCCGAGAAGACGGTCACATCATGCTAACAGATTTTGATCTGTCACTTAGATGTTCTGTTAACCCGATGCTCCTTGAATCTTCTTCATTGGGAATGGAGCCACCAAAGATATCTGGTCCATGTGCAGGGTCTAACTGTATTGATCCTTTCTGTACTGGACCTTCATGTCAGGTATCATGCTTTAGCCCTAGGATTTTACATGCCAATGCAAAGTCAAGGAAGCAGAAAGCTGAAGCTTCTGCCCAGGCTAGATTGTTACCGCAGCTCGTGGCTGAGCCAACTGAGGCAAGATCCAACTCATTTGTTGGTACCCACGAGTACTTGGCTCCAGAGATCATTAAAGGAGAAGGTCATGGGAGCGCAGTCGATTGGTGGACATTTGGTGTTTTTCTGTACGAACTTCTGTATGGGAAGACGCCATTTAGAGGTGCTGGTAACGAAGAGACATTAGCCAATGTGGTGTTGCTGAATATCAGGTTTCCCGACAATCCAATTGTTAGTTTTCAGGCAAGAGATCTCATCAGAGGTCTGTTGGTGAAGGAACCGGAGAACCGGTTGGGGACAGAGACGGGAGCTGCCGAGATCAAACGACACCCATTCTTTGACGGACTAAATTGGGCACTGATACGGTGCGCCATTCCACCTCAAGTTCCCGAGTTCTATGATAATGGAATTTCCAAAATAGCAGAAGAGGAAAAATATCTGGAATATAGTGCTACAGGAGAGCAGTTACAATTTGAGTTGTTCTAGCTAAACCATATTGTTGGGAAGAAAATTTACTGTCTGGTAAGCTGTAGCCTCCCATCTTTGTAAGTACATTCTGCTTATAATGTACATTGTTGAGAGTATTGCCCAAAGTTCCTCTTACTGGGCATGGCATTGGAAATTTATGTGATTGTGACAATTTAGTCCAGAAACACATTTATCATGGTTTTGCATGATATTCAGTTGAGTTTATGCCTCCAGGAGCTCCTATACTCCGCGTTAGTTCTGCTGGACAGTAATAGACTATGTTAAGGAAAATAAGATAAAATTCGTCCACCCAACTTTCACTATACATTTACTAGTGAAATTCATGCTCGCTAGAGTTGTTTGGCAAACCCTTATCCTAGCAGAAGTTTCACTTACATTGTTTAAGTGTCTGCTCTGCAGAGCTTTCGAAAAGTCAAAAGTTACTTTTGAACAATAAATTTTTTTGGCATGCTTTGTCCGATAAAGGAGAAGTCGATCTAAGGTAGATGAAGAAGCTCTTGTTCAAGTAGCATGAACAAAAGTAGAAACTCTGCAAATAAACGAGTCCTTAGTCCTTGTTTGGCCTCCATTATTTGTTATTTTAATTTTTGGACTCATATTTTTTGGGAGAATGTCTAGTTGATAAGAATAGAGAAAAAATGAATTATAACTTTAAGAGTTGTATGTGATGAAATTTAATTGGATCAAAATTTCATCAATCAAATGACTTTCCTACTTATATTTTGACACATAATTATTATGTAAAATATTATGTAAATGGTTATGTGTAAGAAATATTTTCCTAATTTTAATGGGGCAAACAGGGTTTTGTGTAGATGGCAATGTAATAAATTTTCTGATTTTTATTTGTGCTATGAAAAATTAATAAAAACTCCACGTATCACCTTTTGAATTTAACAAAAAGTATTTATTTTTTTATCAGTCCATGATCTAATAATTAGTGCTCAATAAATTAATAAGTGAAAAAAATTAACTTATCTAAATAATTTTTTGGAAAAACAGCCAAAGAGGGCGTTAATTGTAATTAAAATAAGTCCCACTTTTAAGTCATTTATTTTGTTACATACAATTTTTTTTTTTTGACTATATTTTTTTTGAATAAACAATTACTTTTCAATAATAAATATATTTTTGGACCCGAAGATTCAGACGTTCGTTACTAGTCCAAGTTCATAAAATTCAGAGAGTAATGGCGGCGAAGGCAGAGAACGACGACGAGTTCGTAACGCTCACCTGCACCAATTTTGATGCCTCAGAGCTGAACGAAATCACGGACGCTGATCAGATTGTAATTTCAACGGCCAGTGTCGCCAGTTGGGACTTGCAATTAATTCTCAGTCACAAAGTCCTCAAAATAAAAGCCAATCCAAAAAGGCAAATGACCTCGTATTCTCAATCTTAACCTAATTTAATCAAACTAAACTACATGCTAAATTGGTTTATTGTGTGTTTCTAATTGTCTCATCCTTATTTACAAAATTCACAGGCTGATTGAAAAATCTTCTTATTTTCGGGGTCTCCTATGTGGAAGCTTTAGGTAATTGAATTTCTGATCATTTAAAAAAAATAAAAATTCCATGTGTCTTCATAAACTTTCTGTAAATTTTACTTTTTTTTGAACGAATTATAAATTTTTTTCTGGTCTATTTTTTCAGTGAATCTACGATGCAGTATATTTCCATACATTGGGATACAGACTCGTTTTTGAGTGTTTTAAGATTCATGTTTGGATGCAAGGTGGATATTACGTCTGATAATTTTATTCCCATGTACGAGGTAACTTGCATTTTAAATTTTTTCGATTGTTGTTGTTGTTGGCTTTTTATTTTTATTTTTATCCTTTTGATGTTAATTCATGTAAAATTTTTCTTTGCCTGAAGTGAAAATAGCATGTATTGTATGTTAGCATGGACCAGAGAATGACAATCTATCATTGGTATAGGGCGAAAATAAACAGTTTTGTATTATTACTGACGTAAGCTATGTAAATAGACAAGCGAGACAGTTCAGGTAATCTACAGTTCATAGAGGAATTGCCAGTTTACTGGATTATGAATTTGAAGGCTAGAATTAAGAATATATTGATTGATTCAGTTTCATAATTACAGTCAGGGCAAAATGCATGAACACTACTGGTAGCGCATTTGAATTTTTGAATGTGCACGCTGTGGCTTCATTACTTTTGAGAAATTTGTCTCTTCTTTTCTCTTTATCATTCTGTCATTTTTTGGATTTCTCATGGCTTTGCTATCTTCGTATGAAATTGTTCTTTGATGTCCTCTGCTGTGTAGTTGATACTTCACGTCTCTTAACTAATGGATTGATGGATGATGCAGTTTGTAAAAGTTATTGAAAAGTGTGATGTATCCCATCTCAATAGCTGAAAACTGCTTTCGCATGTACTCAGGCTGCTTTATTTTTTGGAGTGGAAACTCTTCTCTTGAAATGTCATGTTTGGTTAAATGAAGTAACATCGCTCGAAGGACTTCGATCACCAGAATTATGTTTGTATGATTTGGTCCACATCTGGAATTATGGTTTAGAACATGGCAAGTATTTATACTTTTTAAAGATGATTAATAAGCAGAATAATTATTTGCTTTCCTTATATTCTTCGCATAACAATTATGACTGCGTCTTATAGATGGAAGTGGAATGTTTTGCAGCCAATGATTTTATCCTACAAAAATCTACAAGCTATCTAGCAAGGAACTTTGTAAGTGCTTGGCTTTGACTCAGTTATTTTTACTGACTAAATTATTCTGGATTGAAGGATGGCATCTTTGTTTTAGCACGATAAATAGAAATTTCTTATATGCTATGAATGAGCTTAATGTTGGGTATATTTGTACCTTGTGGAAGTTAAATTAGTACTGCATAGCACATGGAAGACTGTTAAATGGTTAATATTTTTTACCACCAGTAACTATCACTCTCATCGACAGCTGGATCTCTAGGAAACTTTTGTATTTGCTAGCAACTGGAGACAAGGGAATTAAATGGATCCTCAACATGAAGGCTTAATTCTCATAGTCGTGTTTCTTAAAAATATTGACATGGATAAAAAAGCACAAGAGAAATGTAGAACTGTTTTATCCCTGTAGGTTTATTGGAGATAAAATGAAAGTAAACTCAAGAAAAGAAATTTCTCAGTATGAAAATCTATAACAAACATAACTGAATAATGACTTGTATTTACACTTTAGACCCTAGTCGCAGACACTACTAGCCCCTACAGTGGAATATAATAAAGTGATGTATTTATCAACATTCTAATTCAATCTTTCACTCAAAATTTATGGTAATGATACTATAAAATGAGTGTCAGTAATGAACCTAAGAGATGAAAATCATGCTGTTTCTGAATAGAATGTCCAGAATCAGGATTTTGCTGATTATGAAAATGAAACAGTTACAATATTTTACAGTTAGCTATACAATTAATGCTAATTGCTAAAACTGTCAGATATTCAATTTAAAAGAATATAGAAATAACTTATTTTATGATATTTCTGAGTAGTAGTTACAATATATATGCCATTTCTTTTCACCAGTCTGATCATACATTCGTGTCTTCCTCTGCAGATGTGGGCATCATCCTGTAACTCTTTCAACAATATTCCTTATGAATTACTATGTTCAGTTATAAAGGATCCTGAATTGACTGTAGACAGGTTATATATTTTTTATTATAATCCCAGTGAATTTTATGTTATGTCCACTTCCACACTAATTTCAGATTTCTTTAATCAGTGAGAAGCATCTTTGTGAAGCCATTTTAGTTTGGCTTGATGCGAATGTAACTCAATCAGAGGGCTGGAGTGGTGAAGAAGTAAGTCATGCTGATGTATTAAAGCAGGTATGACCTTATGAGTGAGAGACTCTAATACCTGAAGTCACGCATAAGAGGGAGAAGTTGGGGGTTGCGTGCAGTTGGGAAGGAGAAAGAGAAGATATATCTAGGTGTTATCACTACATAAAAGTTGTAAACAAGGATGAATATATCCAAGATGAGTTAATTCCGATGAATGGGTATACAGGTTTCATGTATCCACTGTATTCTTCTGTACAGAGCCATTCTGTCAGAGATTGCATTATTCATAAAACACTCAAATTGGGGTAAGATGACTGCTGTTATAGTTTATGTGGATGACAATGTCGTGATAGGTAATGATCTAGATGAAATTGAGAAATTGAAATTGAAAGAGAGATTGGCAAATTTATAGGATAAAAAAGACTTGGGAAACTTTATTATTTCTGGGAATTGAGGTTGCTCAATCAAGAGAAGAATTGTGATTTTGCAGAAAAACATGTTGGATCTCCTCAAAGAAACTGGAATGTCGGGGTGCAGACCCTTCGACACTCCAGTCGAAGTTGGAGACAAACTTGATGAACTGATAGTGTCCCAGTAGAGAAGGGAGGTATCAACATATAGTAGGAAAATTAAACTATTCATCACAAATTGGAGTTGACATAGTCTAGCATTATGAGTCAGCTTATGCATAATTCGAAGGAGATAACATGGAAACATTGATGAGGGTGCTTAGATATTTGAAGCTAACTCCAGGTAAAAGTATTTTATTTAAGAAAAAAGCAAGACTTAAAGTTATTGTACCTTTTGTGGGGGAAATTTGCTGACCTGGAAGAGCAAAAATTAACCAGTTGTTTCTAGCTCTAGTGCAAAGGCTGAATTCCAGGCTATGGCACACGAGGTATGTGAACTCCTGTGGATAATAATAATAATAATATTTGATGACCTCAAAGTGGGCTGGGAGGTCCAATAAGACTCTATGATAACACATCAGCTATTAGCAACGCTCACAACCCTGTTCAGCACGATCAATCTAAACACGTTGAAATCGATCACCACTTAATCAAAGAAAAGTTATACAGTGGTCTGGTTTGTACTTCTTACACATCTACTAAAAGACAATTGGTCGACCTTCTAACAAAAGGACTTACAACTCTACCTTTTCACTCATCGCTGCCAAGTGGGGAATGAAGAACATCTCAGCTTGAGGAGGGGTGTAGGGAAATCTAGAAAATATCATGCAGTATTTGCTGCCCTGTTATTTTTTATGTACCTTTTTGATTTTCAGCCTGTATTCTTGGTAGATTTTGATTTATTCATAGCTGTAGATCCCTAAAATATCTCTAGGCTAGAAATAGGATATTTCCCTTTTCCATGTTTTCTTTTTGTGTAAACAACTTTATATATGCCCTGTGAAGTTAAGTCTGGCATATGATTGAAATATTAACATTCTACAAAATAATATGAAGACATACTACTACTAATATTAGAATAAGCTTTGATTGGGTTTAGGTTTACAAAGTCTATCAGATTGGAAGGAAGTGAGCTAGAATTATAGATTATTGATTTTTCAGGAGATCTTGTTCATAAATAATGAAGAAGTTAGCTCTTGAACTCTATCTTGCATTAGATTATCAATGAAGTGAGCTATGTCATTGTATTCCGTATTTTAAAGCAGCGGGTCAACTTTGAGGCGCACTGGGGGGGAGTTATTCTAAGTCGTTATTCTTCTGAACCTTCTAATGCCAAGGAGAACATTACAAGAGAGCATCAATTATTTGTTCTTCAATGGTTTACAGGAGATTAGCGTATATTTTCATATCGTTTGAAACTAATTATTGTTGAAAAAGTCTAGTTGCTGGTTGTGCAAACTAAACTTTTTTCTTACACTTTATATCTTTCTGAAAATTCTCAAGATTTTTAAAGATCTTACTTGCTATCTAAATATGTTACATTAAATCAGTGATGTAAAGATATATGTTACATTCTGGTATGGTTGGTTATGTCTTAGCTTGATGTTATCATACTTTGAAAGCTGAAGTTTCGCAATATTTCCTGGCCATGAAAAGGTAATTCTGTTTCTCCTCCTGTTAGAGCAGTCTACATCAGAAGTATGTGCTTTTCAGTTTCCTGAATTTTGAATCTTTGTGGTGGCTAATGGAGCACATCGATTTCTGTCCATAAACCAGCTATGTAGAATGAAAAGCAATCAACTAGATAATTGATGAGTATCACTAGAAATGGATGCTATACCTATGCCAACATAATGACACTGGAGTGAAGGTTGGGTTTCCTTATTGTTTTTGTTCTCTGAAGGGTGAGAGCGGTGTTGTGTCTATAGATATTTGATAGCCATTGCATGGTACAGCAGTCTTAAAATTCACTGGAGCATCATTAAATTATTTGTATTTGGTTGAAACCTTCCAAATTTCTTTCTTTTTAACATTTTCATGGTTTCTTGAACAGATACGAACATCACTTTTACCCTTGAAGTTTGTTGCTGGTGTGTTCTCTTCCGATATTTATTTAAAGCCTTTCTGTAATAATTTATTGATGTGTCCTGTTCCATAGAAACATTTCTATGTTGTAGGTAAACGAAAATCCTGTTTCTTTTCAAAGTTTGCGGATAAAGGCCTTCGTTCCATCCTGAGTTTGACGAGACCTCTTTCAACAATATCAAAGAACGTATTTAAAGATGCAGACTTGAGTCATCTTAGAATCCGGCTTACAAAATATACTAAGGTTTTCCTTTCCTATTACTTTATCCCTGTTTTCTGTAAGCATCCTGATTGGAATCTTGTGTTGTTATCCTATTCAATTTTTGATCTTGTGGTTCATTGTATTCAGATTTTATATACACGTGTTAATTGATGTATAGTTAGTGGTCTATCTTGTATTTACCTGGGGGCCCTCTGATGGCACTCCTTATGCGGAACAGATATCATATATGTGGTAGTGAGATGGCTGACAAATAAACATGACTTTTGTGGTTTTATGCAGCGGTTATTAGACCAGTTGTACTTTATGGAACTGGCTGTTGTGCAACTAAAAGATAATGTTCACGAGTATTAGAGTCTATTTCCGGATAATTAGTTTATTACCTTGTATAGGCTAGCTAATTATCACACAAAATCGGGATTAATTCCCATTGTATATTTTCCTTATATAGCTTTGTACCATCCTATAAATTAAAAGGCAATACACAAGAGAGAGGATTTAGCAAAATCTGTCAATGAGATGAATGAAATACAAATGATGATGTGAGAAGGATGTGTGGCTATATTAGATTAAAAAAAAAAGGAAATAATGGTATGGTCCAACAAAGGAGGTAGGGCTAATTGAAAACAAAGTAAATAAGTAATGGAATAATGCCTTAGATGGTTGGGCATGTTTATGTTTAGTATAAGCCTAAATAAGTCTTCATTTACAATAGTAATTCAGTTTGTGTAGAATGTGCTAGAAGAGGGAGCCATAGACCAAAATTAACTCGGACTAATATGAAAGATTTGATATCATTGAGCCTTAGACCAAAATTAACTTGAACTAATATGAAAGATTTGATTTTATTAGACCTCTTATAAGATGCATTTCTGGATCAAATAGTGACGAAATGTTTCACGTATTGACACAAGGTAGTTGGAAATAAGACCTCTTCTAGCTTCCTGATGTCCTTTTACTCATTTCTCTTCTGTAAGCTGCCTTTATACAATTCTGGGGACCTCAATGTTGATCTCTCCTCGGTGGTGTCTTGGAGATACTACGGAATAAGCTTATCAAGACCTGGAATATGCTCATGCAAGATTCTTTCTCCCAAATCAGTGGCATTTGAAAGCCAAAGGGTTGATAGATTCTTGTGGAGTTTTAAACAGTTCTAGTGTTCATGTCATTTATTTCTTGGAGGCGCTTTTATCAGGAACGGGTGATTGATTTTGGACCTTCTGAATTAGACTAGTTTCCTGAAATGTTTGCTCTCATAACATGATCTCCCTGTGATATGGTTGGGTTAGTGGGTCTTAATCTTACTAGTCCATGTTGTCAATTGTGAGGAACGTATGCATCATGGGACATTCATGAATACTTCCATCTCCTAGTGATGGTGTTTGATGGTTGACTCCAAATGCATGCAGTGAAGTTAGGCTAGTATTTTAGTTTCTCACAAATTTCCTCAAGGTCCACCGTGGAATTCGTAATGCACATGCTTTATGTTTTACAGGTCATTTTAGTCCATGAAGCACAAGGTTATATAGCTTAGGTGGTTTGGTCTGCTTAAAACTGGATTTTAACCCTGGAAGACATCAATTGAACATGAATTCTATCTACTTCCAGTTATGTTTGTTGCGTTTAATGCACCCGGGGGGGGGGGGTTTGAAACTTGCATTGTTTAGGACAATGGATGCCGCTGTATGAAGTTTTGGATTAAATAGTTCGTTTCACTTTAAGAGAGCAATTATCTTACTCTAATTAAATTTCCTGAACCACTAGAATAGTGTAATAATATGTTCATATTTCCATTACTTGCTAGAAGTTTATGGACAGAATGGTGTTAGCTTAATCATTTTTTGGGTGTTTGCTATTGATTTGAAGGAAATTTGGTTAAAGACGCTTGTTTAAGAAAGTACGTCTTTGTTGTACTCACAAATTAGCCTGGAACTTGGCATTCATAAGTTACACTGATTATTAAATAGAGAAATACTCACTGATGCATTTGATGTGTGCATTTTTCATGTAATGCACATATTGATCACAAGTGTTTAAAATTTAATGTAAATGCATAGAGCCAGCACATTCAAGTAGTCTTGCAGTGCTAAATTAGATAAAAAA